GTGTTACCTACAGTATAATTTAGGAAGTATACCTAGCCGGACTCACCGTTGTCTATTTTACGTGTTCATATGCGTACTTCCGGTATAGTTATTGTACATATTATATTTTATTTGAATTGTGTAGTGCAATACACTCGTACCAGTTTTAATTCAACTGTTCAGTAATGTTCATATACGTCATCTAACTAATCGGGCATTCTTCTATTATGAATTTTTTCTTTGTAAGTTTATTTTACTTATTTATCATAATATTTTACTTTATTATTCTTTAATACTTATTAGTTATTATTAATACAAAATGTTGTTTTTAATATAAATTATTTCATCATAACTGATAGATGATAGTGTTTAGTGTTTACTATAATTTCGTATGTTTTATGATGCTGTCTTCCTCAGTTCTTATTTTGTCTCAGATTCCTAGATCTATTTTTACGATTTGCCTTTGTGCTCCTTAGGGCAATGTCAACCCTTACTATTCCAGACGTTTATTTTAAGATTTCTTGTTGACTATATTTATACCTATGTATATATGTATATACTATATATATTTATAAACAATCTTAAGATTTGTGATTAATGTAGTTAATCTTTCTCTGTTTTCTACCCATACATTACCTTTAACGATAATGAGTATTCAAACAAATAATAAAATATTATTATATAATGATATATCATAAATCATGTTAGTATTAATTTAAACTAATATTTGTATAAAACATAATTAAAATAGTTTAAAGTAAATATAATAGTGTAAACCAGCTTATTGTTTAGACAGTCTAATATTTAAATCCCAAATTGGATAATATAGTAATAACTAATAAGTTATCTTTCTATTTTAAAAAAATATTGACATTTTTATATTTCGGGAATAAACTAATTTTATGGCAAAAAAAAAATACAAACAAATGCAATAAAAAYGATATGTACAAATGTTGTCATTATACTTTAATTTATGTATCATTAATGTATATTTAGTAAATACTTACAATTAATACCAGTGTACTGTCCAATATCAATCCATTTCACGTTTTACATTTGGTTAAGTTCTATTATACTTACTGTTTAGTAATTAATAAAAACTGGTATTTGTATAGGCATAGTATACTATAGCTATATTGTCTGAACTTAAGTTAATGATTAGGTTGGGATTATTAACCCATTATRTATTGTACTATAATCAGGTATAAATTATTATTATTAACTATTTACAAAATTATATATTTATAATAAGTACTATTCAATAACTAGTATTCAAATTTTATAATTCGATAGAAATTTCCATTGTAAATTTAATATATTATAACTAAAATTTATTTTTAACTGCCTACATACATTTATGATGGGTACATGATAATATACAATTATATGATAATTTGTAAAAATAGTAATCGAAATCATTATTCAACACAAATCTATTATTTATCTACATATTTTATTATTTTTAATTACTCATGATTAGTCATTAGTATGATAATTCTTCGTCTTGTTTTACATCAACCATTCATGTTGTTTTAGTTATTAAGTAGATTGATTCAATATTTTATTTTACAATTATGTTTATTTATTGTTTGTTTGGCATTTTCTTTTTGAGGAGAAAAAAGTTTACATTTTCAACTTTGCGAATAAAAAAAGTTTACATTTTCAACTTTGCGAATAAAAAAAAGCTTACATTTTCAACTTTGCGAATAAAAAAAATTTATCTGGTTGGTACTATAAGTCAAAAGTAAAAAAATATTCAATATTTTCTTAAATAATCGCGATACTCTAAAAAAAATTACGTAAAACGGGAGTATATTATATTATGCTATACCAGTTTTTGACTAGACCAGTTATTATATTGTAATTCAAAAATTACATTTTCATGAAATATTTACTATTAATTATAGTATTTTCTAAAGATGACATAATTTTCAAAATACACTGCCTCTCTTTTTTTTATAGATATTTCTATTAATTTCAAACGTTTTTTTTTTTTATTTGTATTTAAATTTTTGTTGTATGTCGAAAATCTTGAATATAAACAAGCTAGTATTTTATTACTTATTAGTTGTATTCTTAGCAATTTTATTATTATACCTAACATATAATTCTATAATACGTGTTTAATTTTTTGTTTATTGAATATATCTTTGTTAAAATCTTGATTTACTCAATTACCTCATAAAAACATAAATTTCCGTGTTAAATATTAGCAAATTAAATTAATTGTTGGAAACTCCTTTAATAGAGGTAGTGATTAATATTAATACAATAAAGTATACTTTTAAATTTAGTTAAATGTTTTTAATTTATTGGGGATTAATCTTATGGTAATATCATACTCAATTTACTCATATTATGACAAAAAGTTATAAATTATAATAGTTGCCTACGTGATATAGATGTAGGTTAATTGAGTGTTAAAATTAATGTATGCCTTTTAATCGGTAAAAATCATCAATATCCAATATTTTCCCGGTCCTTTAATAAAAGCTTGACATAAAAGCATTTTATTCATATAAGTGTACAATCTCTAAAATCCCATAGATTTCTGAAGTGCTGTCCGACCAAAAATTTGATATCACTCCCTATCTACTGTTAATACCTACTATACATATAATTATGAACAATTGTTATCCTTATCGTTAATCTATTTTTAACCCTTTACATTATGATTTATTCTTATTGCCAATTTATTAATGCATGTGTATATTTTTTTTTTGTAGGTGAGTAATCCATTTTATTACATTGTACATAAAGTATAAGTAAGAAAATAGTTGAACCATGAATCATGCTCTCACATTTGTGTTACAAATGGATTGGGTATCAGATAATCGATACAATCAGAATTGGAGTAAGTAGATTTATATTATACTCGATGTTAAATTGTATAAACATCATGTCAAAAGGATAGAAAAGGTAACAAATATGGGTATTTACTATTTAATAGGTTCAGTTACAATTTTCAGCCGCCAAAGTTCTTTATATCCATATGTATATATTATTTTATTCGCGTGGTTCGGGGTTCAATATAAACATTTAATTCAAAAATCTTCCTTTTAGTTCAAGTTTCACTCTCGTGTTCATCATATCATGACAGAACAATAATTTGAATATCCTTTATTATTTTTATAAAATAATTTGTAAAATATGCGTCAATCATGATGTGTTACGACATTTGAAAGGGATATATCTTTAGAAAGTGTCCCAGTTTAATTGTAGAAAATCGAAGGTGTCGATGAAAAGCGTGGTACATAAAGGTGATGGACCGTAACTGTGTCCAATCATTTTGAAGTATCCCACTGTTTTCTACACAATTTTCACTTTTCAAAGACACGGAAATATTTGTGTTCGTTATAATCTTATATTTATATACAATATATAAATTAAATACCTACATAATTAAACATTGTTCGTTGATAATTTTTATAAAGAGCTTTTGTCTGTGCCTCATAAAGAGTGCGGTGATATAAATTAATTTATATAAAATTTATTATTACACCCGTTTTAGTGAGTGGTTTTTATATGTAAATTGTAGTGAATATTTAGTATTAGAAAGTATATGAAGATGACCTCAGTACGTGATGTCAAAATAAAAGTTAAAACTGTGTTGTATTACGTTATTTCTACTGTTATCTACATTCTACATGGATATTTTTTTATAGATATTTACATCTGTCCGCTATTTTTTTGTGTCTTACATTCTGACCTAATTTCCTAGCGTTACTGGTTTATAATAGACTTCCCCAACCTKACTGACCAGGGTCAGGGTCATGTTCATGTATCTTATGTCTAAATGAAGTGATGATTAATAATCGGCGTCTTGTTGGTATATAATGTTGATACACATAGCGGGAAATCACCTCTTCTATTAATTAATAATATATTAGTCTTTTATTTATTTTTGTACATATTAGTTTCAAACTTGTGGAAATACTGATTATTACTTTTGATTGAAGCTTAAAATATCAGAATATCTTCATATTATTTTTGATTAATTTATATACAAATGAAAAATACATATGCTGTTATAGTAGATAACTACTGTAAAAGTCCAATAACGATATTTTAATATTACTTATTGTATAATTATTTTATTTAAAAATGTAAACACTTGCATATTTAAAAAAAAATTATCAAATTTTACATTTCCCCGATTTTCTGATTATTTCACAATACGTATATGGATGAAAATACACCTATCTAGTTAAAAATATAACTAGGTATTGTGCGTGTAATTATTTATCTTATATTAATATCGTAATCTGTTAATATATTTAATATTTCTCTCCATTTCTTATTTTTTATTAAATCAAAAATGTTATTAGTATTTTTACGAGTATATATAACGTTAAATAAACCCCCCCAACTCAGATTTAAAATACTTCATTTTTTTTACAGCGAAAATAGTCACTAYTCTATTATTGCGTATTTAACATTGTGAGAGTCAAAATTGATCGGCTCTTTAGTAACATTTATTGTGAGATTTGATATATAAATTACTATATTTTTTGCATACACGGATTAAAATTAGAATCTCAGATAGGTTACATGAACTTGTTAAAATGTCGAAATATTATAATATCACGAGAAATGTGTTCACGCGCAGATACGCTCTAAGTACAACAATAATAATCGGTTACATATAATTCTCATAATAAAAGATCATTCAATTCGTGTTTATTTCCTAAATAATATTAATTTTAAACATTTATTATTAATTCACGTTCCCATTTAAAAAATAGAAAAGGCCTCAGTGTTTATTTTTACTATATTAATCACATGTAAGTAGTAGRTATCCAATCGTAATAATAAACGTACATCTTATTCGCAAATTATACATTGCAAAATCTGTTAGCGTTTTGAAAGCAATCATCAAAACTATAATATAGGTACATATTATTATTCATCAATCGGCAGAGTTATACGTCCCCTCCAGCCGCGCTGCCGGCGGAATGTCGGTTTCTGCACTGGTTTCAGGCTTCAGTAGGTTAGTAAGTGTCGTTCGTGCTACTCAGTCGCCACTTCGCCAGTCGCTCCGTCGCTGGTAATCCGGCCATGCGATTCAGGAGCCATTACACTATCAAATTTCAATCGATTCGTACGTGTGTTAGTTAGTACGATTTGTTATATAGGTGTATACTTATGTGTATAAATAATGTTCTAATTTTATTCGTACGAAATATGATTTGGTTTACGTCGTGACATGGTCCACGGTTTTGACGATGGCGGGTTTATTGAGGGTACCGCATTTCCGGCATAGTGGCGAGGACTGTAGGCGAACCGGTCCCGAAGAAGGGATCGACAATTTGTTGCTGGTGCCAGGGAGTGTGCTGGATATGGATGGAAATCAACTTAGAGACGACTTGAATGGATTGAGATTTGCATTTCGTAAACAATATCTGCAGGCGGATCTCGGGCCCCAGGGAAATATTTGGATATGTAAGGTTTACGATTATGTATATAATATAGTTTTACAAGTTTATTTCTGTTATAATTATACTGGGTTGCAATTCTATATAATAATAAATATAAAAATAAACTGTTTTGTTATGGCAGTTGTTTAAGTTGTCTTTTAAAATGGTTGGTACCACTAAAATAATATACATGTATAATGTGTATTTGTCGAACAGTTACTTACCATAACACACACATATATATTTATAGTATAAAATCGATAAATATTTAATCAATTATGAAGCTTGGCCTAAATTATATTTTTGTTATTAATGTTAATATTATATGTGTATGTATATTGTATATCCTATATTTTTATTGAACGTATACAACTTGTAAAATGGATACTTATTATTTACTATATTTTACTATTTTATTTTATAATGAGATGGAATATTATTCTTGGTTGATACATTAAAAAATAATTCTCATACATTACCACACCCTTTGATAATGTTAAAATCCATTAAAGTAATGAGATTGAAAAAATTCATAATTTTATTGATAATGATCATTTATACATGATTTTCATTTTATGTACATGATAATAAAATAATATAAACTAAAAGTATTTAAAATGTATAATTTATTCCTATTGTATCTGGTACTTTGCTTCATAAAAAAATATAAAATGTTTTTCCGTGCGATAATATTTCAAGTTGRCTAATTAATTAATATGTTATTATGTTATTGTTTACCTGGTACAAACACAATGACAAATTATTAAAATGATTATTTATCCATTTAAGTAGGTATATCCCACAAATTTCCGTGATGGAAGTGTTAATGTTAATTTTATTTTGACAATATCACTTTTCAATTTTCGTCATTAATGATTAACTTAAAGAGGACGACACACCCGCATTTGTGGGACCCTTCTTACAAATGTACAACATAGGTAGCAAGTTTATATTTTACAGAACCCTCGATAGAACCATATAGTTAGCTTTAATAATATTATGAGTTATGACCTATGATCAAATCTAAAGGTAAGAATGTGATAATGGTCTCTTGTTGATTTTTACAATATTTTAGTTTTTAAACAAGGCATGTACGAGCAKAGTTGCATTTTATAATTTACATATTCATAATAACTTGCTTAAAAATTTAAATATTGTAAAATACTAACGTACATTTCCAATTTTCTACTTTTTAAGCAGAGACAACACATGCAGGTGTAATGTCCTCATAAATTCAACTAAACCCCATACTTATTTATATTGAATCCGATTAGCCGAATTTTAATGGTTCGAATATGTTATTGGCAACTTTGAGCAACGTACACGCACGTATCAGACACGGTTTGATGTTCCATTTATTTTTTTTCCAGCCAACAGATTTTTCAAATATACCTATACGTTTTTATTTTTATTTTTTTTCTAATGGCAGGTATAAAAACGTTAGCCACGAATTCTTTTTTATATAATTTTTTTTTTGAGATTGACACGTACACCTATTGTTAATAATTAGGCCGTATCGTGCAATAAACCTACTTCAATGACTATCTTAAGAATGTTCTAATTAACTAAGAGTTATCAAATATTATTTGAAATCGATCGTAGTTGTCTTATTACCCATTTAAAAACATAAACAGATTTTGAGTCGTACTTCTTGTAGGAAGTAATATGGTTTTAATTTGTCTAAATTGTTTTATATTAAATAATAAATTATTCATAAAAATATCCAATTTTTTTATAATATTGGGATATATTTAGGGTTTCTATGTCAACGTGTAGCCACATTTCACATTACACTTTTATTTTTGTTTAATTTACAGTTGTATACAATTTATACATCTATGCATTATTCATCATACATCTATACATTGATCTAACAAGGATTAAATTAGACTTAAACGTAAAATATTTAAATAAATAATAAATATGATTAAAGCTTGATAAAAAAGATCCTATAATAAATAGCTGTCAAATAATTTATAAAAAAAAGTATTATATTACGAAATTAAAGTTATAAAAACATAACTAAAAATATGTAGGTAAATCGCATTATTTTTTATTTTATGATTGACTATTCCAGTAGCAGCACTCGAGAACAATCAACTGAACATTATGATAAAAATGATGCAATTCGCACAATCATGTAATTACAGTAATTTGGCCAGTGAAAGTGTAACTATGCCAAATTACATTATAGTCCTTAACAATATTCCCAATTCATAATAGAAAACGATTTGATATTTTGCAACCGTCACAAAAATGGAGTTAAAAGTTCCTGGATTTTCTAAAAATTTTAGTTTTTGTCATGGTACATCAAAAAATGGTTGATAAATTGCAATATTTCAATTTATTAAGGTATTCTATCTAACCTTCAACTTCAATACGACCTTGACATTGGAACTCTGGAGATTCTGAGCCATCTAATTATTTTCATATTTATATGCAGGTTTTAGTTGTTGAGTGTAACAAAGAAATAATAATACAGTATCCACGTGCGTTGTTTGAATAGAAAATTATACACTTAAGTTTCTTTAAAAAAATAAGATCTATAACAACACGAATATTGAATTTTTTTTAGTATCAAATAATCTGTTGAACTTAATTGACTTAGATCTATTATCGTCTTTMAGTAGCGTATATAGAAATAATTTTTGGGGTGGGCTATAATATATAGTGACAAACAATAATTATCTAGCACCTAGAGACTACAATAATATAGTTAACAGTCAATACTGTAACTTCGGGAGGGGCTGCAGCCCACTAGCCCCTCCCCCCTATATACGCCACTGTCGTATTTTTTATTACACCGAGTACTCCAAGATAGCTTGAAATAATAATTCCACTCAATACAACGTAGTAGATTAGTAGAAGACACTTAAATTAAAAAAAATAAATATAAAATAAATAAATTTTAAATTCATATAGCATTTAAGTATTTTTCTAAATACATTACTTACTAAAAATTTCGCATCTGATGTGGATTGCTAAATGAAGGGGGGGGGGTTCTTAGAAAAAAATGTGAATTATATCTTCAACTGTTAAATACTAAACATTTATCGATATATTTTCATTTTGTAATATTATTCTTATATAAATGTCTCACTAATTCATATTTAATTCACTATCTAATATTTTAATTTAATTGTCTTTTGTTATCATGTATCAACTATTGTATCTTATCTTAAATTGTAACCTTTGCATCCTATATTATTAATTAATTGTTGAACTGTAATAGAGCTATCGCTGAAGGTTCTAAAATAAAAAAAAAAACTGTTAAATGAATTGAGTAATTAAAAATATTTCTCCAATCACTTTTATTTTACTATTTTTTAGACTTTATTTATTTATTTTTACGTATCATTTCAAAAAGTTTTTTAGAATTAATACAAAGAATAGAATGTTGTAAAATAATTTGTTATATTTCCCGGCTTTTATGTGATGTGATTTCTAAATTTAACTTTTAAAACTAAAACAATATTTTGTTTATTTTATTTATTAATTATATACATTTTATAAGGTATTTATTTCTATTATATTTAGAGCCAATCGTAAAAAAGTATTCTCAGATTTAAAAATCATAAATAATATTACGGTATTTTAATAATTTTTCATATTATTTTTATTATCATAATACAAATGAAAAAGCCTGGTACACTTAATGCAAAAACTATTATTTATATATTTTACAGTAAAATAAATTAAAATTAAAATTATTTAGTAGGAGAACGTTCGGAATATTAATTAAGATAATTAATAGTACAATTTAAAGAACGTTTAATAAATATGATTATTTACCATAATAAAAAAAATTTTAAAAATGATAATTTTTATCAATGATAAAGTGATACTTATCTATAAAATATTAGAATACCATCAATCATAAAAATTTGTGTAAAAAAATAAAGACCATCCTTGATAAGCAAATAACACATTTTTCTATCCAGTACTTCACCATTGGGAATAGAATAGGTACCGTTGACAACGATTTCATAAATATTAATCATATTTAAAATTTAAAATAAAGTATTTTTTTTTTTTTTTAATTATTAATTTTAATTTTCCCATATATTGGATTGTTATGAAAAAGTTATTTTGTACATTATGCGTCATGATAATGATTTAATTAAAGGAGATATAATATATTTGTAGATTCGTTAGTTTATCATTGTTATTAATATTTAAATTTACATAATAATAAAAACATAATGCTGGCCTAGCTGGTGCTCCAATTAATGAGTCACCAAGCTTTGTATCTCAACATTTCTTAGCGGTACTTATTGAATTACATTTTTTTTAAATAATTATTATACAAATACATATTATTAATAGGTAGGTACTTGTATATAATAATTGAATTTTATAAACGCAAGAAGTATTATATTATTTTTTCTTGTTATGGTATATTAAACTGTGAAAATAATTGTTGTTAAAAAAAAAAAAAATTAAGAATGATATAAAGGTATACTTCTCTTTTATATCGTTACATTTTTTTGAGTTTAATATTGTTGGTCAATGACCACGTGTTGTTCCGGAGATGTATATTTTGACTCTGAAGCCTGAAGGTCATTGAAATTCACCGTCTTATGCGTGAGTTCTTCGGTTTTAGAATTAAAAATATTTACTTGAGTTTGGTAATTAGTTTATAGTTTATACACTAAAACTACCTACCAGAGTTTATTGAATCATTTTGACGAATCCTTACGGCATTATGCACTACGCAATCAAAAATCCGTTTAAAGTATTTGAATATAACAATCAACCGTTAATTTTTTTCTGCGCCACTATTTTCATTCATAGTTGATAGATATTACATAGTATGCATTCAACCATTTGACCTCATTTAAAAAGACTTTCGTAGAATATAAAATACTACAATAGTATTGTCTATATAATCTATAAGTATATGGTTATTGACATTGAAATTTACATGTATAATATATTGATAGAATTAAAATATTATTTGCAATTATCTTAAATTTGTGCCATATCATTTTTCTTATCATAATTACTACCTATTAAAAATTGCCG